GTTGAATAAGAGGCAGCTGAGCCCAGAGAAGGAATGGGGGCATGGCAAATGTCTCAGAAGGGACCCTCCCTAGTTTCTTGGGCTGTAAAGGTGATGGGGAGAAATGTACTTTGAGACTTGGAAGATTGGTGTCAGCCTTGTGAGATAGTCCAGACAGGAAGCATGCCCACATGAACTAATTCTACTTTCTTGTAAGGTTACATTAACAGAATCTTCCAAGTCTGAAAAACCAAGACCGAAGATGGTGTTTGAATCCAGATTCTGCTTTTCTCTGGACACAAAGCTTATGGGCTCTTTTGGAGTCAAATATTTTTTAGGAATCCACAGAATTTGAACCTCTTTTTAAAAAATGTTACGCAGCTCTTGTAGACTACAAAGCAACAATACCTCAAAATAAGGATGCATGACTGATTTATTTCTGATTCTGAGGTTAGTTGAAAAGCCTTCCCCAGTGAACCAAAATGGTCATTATTAAGAGTCTTGGCTGTAGGAACATGCTTGAAGCATGATTCATCCCAGCCACTCAACAGTCATTCTCAGAAACAGTCACGTGGAAGATGATGCCATCCAGAGCAGAATGACTTGATGCACGTTCTCACAAATGTTTCAGGCACAGGAGAAAAAAATATGCCTTTGCAGTGAGTAACCTCTTAATATTCCCAGAACAAACATACAAACAAAACAGGCTGTAATTCAGTGGATTTTTTTTCCTTTTTTGCATACAAAAGTAACATTTCAGTCTTTGCCATTGTGGTTGAGAAAAAATCTTGGCTAGCAGGGTTAGGAATGACCTGTAACAATCAGAGACTTCCAAACTTTCAGTCGTATCACATTCTAAACTTGTCCATAGGAGGAGTTGTTCAAAAATGCTTTTCACTGCACAAATGGGGCTGAGCCTATCTGTGATCTCTATTCTTCACTGGGAATCTTAATTTTAGAAATAAGGGATAAAGCATGAAAAATCCATGGTTGACCCATGAAACAACACACCAGTGGTCACGCTGTTGTCAGTCAGTGTGAGAACAGATTGCCACAGCAGTTGGAATTTGAGGTTTAGTGCAACACACTTAAAAAACAAGCAGCACTTTGATCACACCATTAGGGCCACCAGCCTGACTCTTTTGACCTGTGGACACTCCAGGTACAGAAACATATTTTGGAATCCCTCCAGGCTGGAATAGGGCTATAATAGTTCCCTATAAATGAAGGAAGAAATGGAAGACCCTGTCAATTATAGGTTGATTAGTTTGTTATCAACCTGGGAAAACTTTATGTTAGGCATTTAAATGAAAAATTAGCCTCTTACCCTGAGGCACACTTTGTTTTCACAAATGCTCAGGCTGCTTTTAGAAAAGGCAGATCAACAATTGATCAGAGTTTCATATTAGCTTTCCTGGTAGGAAAATATTCTATTTTCCTGAAAGGCAAATTATTTGCTGCTTTTATAGATTTTAAGGCCGCTTTCGATTCTGTTAATAGAACCAAACTCTGGGCTAAATTAGAGAATTTGGCCCCTGACAGGCGTCTCACATATTTAATACAGGCACTATATCAAGATAGCGTTTTGGAATCTGGGTTTGATGGTCTTGGGACAGGGTAAAAGATGCTTTAAATGGTAGCATGAATTATTTATTTCGCTTCTAAATACAGTGACCAGCCCTGCTGGATTCAGGAGTCCCGACACCCATTCTGCAGAACCAGCCTGTGGGCTTAGCTGTCAAAGTCCCATCCAAAGTCCCCACCAAAGTCCCGGTGATGGCGTCGTGCACAGTTCCCACATAAATCTTGCCTGCCTTAACTTCTGACAACAATGCTCCTCATTTCAGGATAGTCAGTCTTCATTTCATAAGCATTTTAAACTTGGGGTCCTTATTCAAATGGACATTAATGTCAGCAAATAAGCTTCACTGGTGCTCTTTAAACCAACTATTTCATTTAGGAATTTTCAACGCAGTGGGAACCTGGGGTTGTAATTCGGTGCACTGTCGAAATCGTTTGCCTTGTGAAACCAAGAATGACCTAGGTCGTTTTTTGAAATGTAGCTCTTTTGCAAGAATGCCTTACGTGCTTCATTTTCTTCGCCAAATCTGTTTGCTACAACTTCCTCGAGGGATGGGAGAGTGTATTGGGAGCCCTTTTTGACAGCTATAAATCTTAACGGAACAGAGACACATTGAAAGAATTTCCAGATCTCGACAGTTTCGCGTTTAGCAAATGCCAAGAAAAGGGTGTGGTTAAAACTCCATCTTGGCATAATGAAAAAGTTATTTTAGGACATTGAGGCATGTCCCCCAGACTGGAGCAAAACATTAAAACATTAAAAGCAAAACGTTAAAAATTTGGGATGAAAGAAAGAGATGCTTCTGTGTTGATCAGAATCAAAGTTTAATCTCAGAACTGTGTTAGCACAGACTAAACATTTGGTCCCAATGGGCAGATCAGAATTATGAATATTCTCAGTCCAAATTCACTGGGTGACTTTGGGCGCCTCCCTCCCTCTCTCAGCCCAACCAACTTCACAGGGTTGTTGTTGTGGGGATAAAATGAAGGAAGACAAGATATCCAGTACATGGATCCAAAACACCTTTTACTCTTTGGATATGAAAAGTACACACCTCTACGAAATCCCATGTAAGTTGCCTTGAATTCTTGGAGGAAAAGGAAGATACAAATAAATTCGTAGCTGTTTCTTTATTCATCAGATTTATATCCATCTTTCATACTGGACCTCAAAGTAGCATACGTAGCATTCTCTCTTCTTTTTCCCCACAACAACCATCTTAGCTACTTGACCATCTAGGTTTTAATTGAACAAGTCATATCCCAATAGAAACCTAGCAGTCTGATCTGAAATCAGTTGCCTGGCAGAAAACTTTCCTCTAACATGTGCTAATTTTTCTTTTTTCAGGTAGTTTTGTTACATGAAACAGTATTCCCAAGCAATCTTCCCTACCAAGTAACCTGTGATTCACACATTACTAGGTGTCTGTTGTCATCATAGGAAGAAAGCCCTGTTAGTCTGGCGTAGCAAAGAATAAGGAGTCTGATGGGACCTTTCCCACTAGCAATTTTTATTCAAAGGCATCAGCTTCTTGTTGTGTGAATGCCTTTGCTGTGTCTGCACAGACCTAATATGGACATTCAATCATGCTGTACCATCTCTGTACCATCCCTCTTATGAGATATCTCTTTGGCCATTGTGGGAATTGGCACCAGGCTGGTTCCAGGTGTGGTTTGATCCAGCTTGGATCTTCATTTGCCAGTGGCCATGTTCACCCAACAGTCTTAATCTGATTTCTAAGTGAACCCATTGGCTGAGTGTGCACAATACATTAAACCAGCGTTTCTCAACCTTGACAACTTTACGATGTGTGGACTTCAACTCCCAGAATTCCCCAGTCAGTATAGGTTTATCTTAAAGCATGCTGGCTGGGGAATTCTGGGCATTGCAGTTCCAGAATTCGTAAAGCTGCCAAGGTGGAGAAACACTCCATTAAACACTAAACTAAGTAAACACAACAAGCCATAAGCCAGCCTATCCAAGAATAAAACTGATCAGTCTTAGAATGTAGCCAACACATCTTTCACGGGTTGTGCAAACACATTTTTATTTTTATTTATTTATACATCAAATTTGTCACCACCCATCTCGTTGAAACGATTCTGGGCGGTTTACAGCAGAGATAAAATTAATTAAAATACAATATAAAAACAATCCTAATAATACATAGCTTCCAAGAAAGATGGAGAGTTGGCGAATAACTCAGGGAGTGTCGTCAGCGGGCTAACCGCCCCCAGGGATGGCTAGAACTTATGTCGCCCCATGCACGATGGCAGAGCCAGGTCTTTAATCCTTTCCGGAAAGCTGGGAGGGTAGGGGCCCGCTGCATCTCTGGGGGGAGATCCATGATGTGCCAGCTACACTGTCCATTTATTGAAGAATCTGGGGAGAAATTAAGTCCACTGTTATTAAACTGAGAGCCAGTTTGGTGCAGTGGCTAAGGCTCCAGGCTCAAAAGCAAGAGGCCCTGAGTTCTAGTCCTGCGATGGCCACAAAGCCAGCTGGGTGACCTTGGGCCAGTCCTAGGAAGAAGGCAACGGCAAACCACTTCCAAAAACGTTGTCAAGAAAACTGCAGGGACTAGGTAGTCACCAGGTAGTCAACACTGACTCAAAGGCGTACACATACACACAATATTAAACCGGAGGTCCCTAGTGTGAATATAGCCTATAAACCAGTGTTGTCCAAACTTGGTGACTTTAAGATGAGTGGACTTCAACTCCCAGAATTCCCCAGCCAGCCATGCTGGGAGTTGAA